TTGCCTCTCAACTGCTTATGCAATAAGGCAGTTTTCTACAAAATCTTTTAACGGATTGGAAGGAAAATTAAGCGAAAATAAAGAAAAGTTTAGTCGTTCATTTTTGAAGAAAATGCAAGTTTAAATCCACTAAACGCTGTCGAAAATGTGAAAAGTATTTTAACCCAAAAAAACGAAAAACAAATTTCAAAAAATTTCTCACTTACCTAAAACATTTCGAACGAAATCGGTGTATTCTTTCGACTTGGCCATCTTTGACAAGCGTTTTGCTTCTTTCAGCTAAAAAGTACAGAGTTTCAAGGCATTACGACTTGTACATTGAACAAAATATGGTTATATATTCATGAGAACCAACACTTTAAACAACAAAGTGTTACCATGAAACTTGCATCTCATTAAGGCGCAGAGTGAGCTAACAGAACGGTGTTACGCATTATAAAAAGAGAAGACATAAAGAACAAAAACTTTCTCAGTCAAAACAGCGTCAATTCGTATGATAATTATATTTTTTGTGCATACCATCTTGTGGGGCAATTTCGTATCCAAAAGTTAAAATGCAAATATTAGATTGATAGGTAAATTATTCATGATACAATTGAGACATCATACCATGAAATTCGCAATGCAACCCTCACATTAACACGATCATCTCCTTCAGTGCCCATGACAATAGCGACATGTTTTCAAAATTTTATTTCGAAAAGGAAGCCCAATTCGACTGTTCCACGACTGTGCTCTGTTCTACTACATGGAAGAACTGTTGGGGGAGACACTAAACCTAGACAAGTGTTTGATCGCCCGGGTGAGGTTCAAGTCAGTGGTTTTTCTCGAGATCTCTACTGCTTCCAGAGGGTTCTATTAACAAAAGAGAGCACAATCGAAGCTTCCTTCTTTTACGATAAAGAATCCAGCAACTTCCCCTCACGCATTTCACTAATGTTTTGAAACACTATTATACTTATTACATACCACTTTCATTAACAGTCTATCGAAATATGGTCGAAAAACTTCGGCTAAAAGTCCCAACTTACGTCTCGAGGAAACCGTAAAATCGAAATTTACTATTAACGTTTAGACAAACTTATTCGCAGTTTCTGGTCAGAAAGAGAGAGACCCTGGGAACAAGAGTAACGCTTGAAATTCAGCACGGAACAATAATGCCATCGTTTCGCATCTAGAAACATTTAGACTTTTGTTTTAAGCGTATTATTCGCAATCCGCGTTAAGTCCACCGTTAATCTTTCCCATCCTTAATTGATCTCGACCCATTCCACGTCATTCTTACCTCCAACTGTCTGTGTGTCCTTTCAAACTACGATTCATTTCAAGAATTAACGTTAATGGAAGTTTTCCTCCATCAAAAAAAATGACTCAAAGAAGTGATGCACTCCGTACTTGTAGCTATGTACTAAAACATTCCGATTCAGAATTTGCTGGTTCAGGTGTAGTTTGGACCCTCACAGGCGAGTCGGAGAGAGCTTTGCCGGGGCTCATGCAAAAATAATTATTAGTGCCAGACCCCTTACAGACCTCTCACCGACTGGCGCTGCTCAGAGGCCTCATACTTTCCTGAAGGCGCTGAAACCGTGGCGGTCGTGCCGAAGTGCTAACTGGGTAAGGTCCTGCTCGCCGGCCGTTCAAGTTATCTTTCGGCAGTACTCCTTAACTCTTCTATAAAATTTAAGCTGTAACATCTCACCTGCCACCGTTTCTGTTCCAGGTGAGCTTGACGCTTCTTAAAGAGCGAGTCTTGTCTTTTGATGAGTTCATGTTGTATGGCGACTCTTTCCTTCAGGTATTGGTAATGTTCATCTTTCTCCTCTTGTTTGATCTTTGACCACACTTCATATAAGCGGACAGATTGCTGCAAAAATAAGGAAACGTCACAAACTACTCACGGGTAACACCATAAACGCTCTCGCAAGCCCCATTCCCCCCCCCCCCACTCCCCCCCGGCTTCCAGATGCAGGCCTCATGGATGGGGAGGGGATTATCAGAAACTTCGAGTTCCAGACGACCATGCCCAGTTATTCCTGTTATTGAAACATCTAGCGTATGTTGAACGTCACGCTGTTACAACACAGTTATTTCATAACACACTGGCTGTCTACAATAGTAATTTGGTTTTATCTACTGAGTTGAAAATGTAGATTGGCTACCGTAAAGAGTTCTAAAGCTGACAATTCGAGCGTTACAGGGTAATTTAGAAATATCAACCAAGCTGATAACGTAAATTGGCCAACGTAAAGAGTTTCATAGCTGACGTTTCGAGCGTTAGCCCTCCTGACTTTCGCTCTGACGAAGGGCTAACGCTCGAAACGTCAGCCGGTTTGCAAACTCTTTACTGTGGCCAATTTACGTTATCAGCTCAGTTTATAATAGTAAATTACCCTGTTATACTCTCCCACCGACGCAGCACCACAATTTCTTTAGAAACTCACCCCCTTAATTCGAGCGTTAGTCCTTCGTCAGAGCAAATGCTTGTCAGTGCTTGTCACACAATGCAAGCCAAAGCATCTGCGTAACACAACACTTATCACGCAAAATAGTCACACAACATCTTCTCACAGATTACCTCTCTCTGAATGATTAGCTTGTTAGCCTTTCACACCATAGATCTCATTAGTAATTCTCCTTACTGTCAGCCATACAATTCTTATGACGTGAGTTTGGAGAATTTGGTATTGGATCAACTAATAATCACCTAATTGATATTTTCCTTTATTCTCATTACTTGTTTATCTGTGAGGTAAAGAACCTACTTCATTCGGTACAATAGGGTGAAGTTGGGATCCACAGGGAGTCCTAATTATATGGAACATGTTCCATGGTATTCTATTGATAATGTAAGGAGAAATTCTGTCCTGGTCATCTATGGGAGGTAAACACAACAAACTACTGAGGTACCTGTTCCCTCTCTTTTGCAGCCTTCACTTCGGCTTCAACCTTCTGTTTCTCAGCTTCTGCCAGGTGCTTATTTTTGCTCTTTTTGGAATGAACAGAGCTTGCAGCATTACTGGTTGTTTCCAGAACCCTACACATGGTGGACAAATGTAATAATACAGTTTTGTCATTAGAAATCAGACTTTTTGCATTGCTCTTCATTCAGATGCCATACAATTTTAAAGAGGAACCTGTCAATGGAACATTTACACACAAAACCTTTTCAAGTCCACTAAACTGCTTCATTCTTATGTGACAAGCTCATCTTCTTTAAATGTGTAAGAAGTCTTCTTTAGAATGACTCAAATAGCACAATATTGCTAGCTCGTTGTGTAGTATGGTTATACTTATCATGAAAAATCTGATAGGGCATTAGAGCATTCAATCAATGTACAATTGTGTGTGAAGTTGCCACTACAAATGCAATACCTTAGCTGGATATTGCATTCATCATGTTGACTTCAAAGTCTGCCTAGTTTCCAAGCCCCTCATCTGTGTAGTGTTCTCATACTTAAGCAAACTCAAAGAAAAGTGTCTTCCTTTGCAGTTTGAAAAATGTATAATAAAACAATTATTGAATTTGGTTGTCCCATGATATCACAAATTATCGAACCTCAGACCTTGGTTTTGATAATTCATATCATGCTCAACCTTATCCAATAATTGCTTAATAGTAGAAACAGCTTTTCATGTTTTTTGTGTACTGTGACCATGGTGTCTTGAAGAGAGCTATTAACAATTATAAAATATCAAAGTTGAGATTGGAGACCTGATCCAGCAATATTGAAATTTAAGGTGGAAACTTGGCAGCAAGATGATGAATTTGTTAAGTTCATTAAACTTTCACACCTTCATATCAGTATGCAAATTCTCCATACTGTTTCCTATACATTTTATTGTGCTGACAATGAGAATTTGTTTAACAATCAAGAGCTTCTTAAGTTGGTGATCATTCTTAATTCTTGCAACCTTAATGTGAGATTCAGGGATGATACTGTGAGATGACATTGGATTCTAGTCACTGCTAAGGAATATAGGGTAAATTCACATGACAAAGGTCCAGGTTTCTTGTCTGAGACCATGCTTGTGGATATAAGATTTGTTTGCTTTCCACCAGTTAGGATTGTAACCTTATTATTTAGAGTGCTTGGTAATTTACTATTGGAATTATTGTTTTACTTCTATTTTTCCACCTGCTTTCATATCATAAAGGACACTTTTCCATTAAAAAATACACATGCACAGCATGTTATTTTTTCCTATCCAGTGTTATTAAAGAACCATAAATCTTAAAAAAGTCAGCGATCTTTCTTAAACGATATACTCTACTCATGTCTACTGGGCGGAAAACATAAAGCTAACAACGAGATGGATCTTGTGTAGAAATCATCTGTGACATCCAGTATGATGTAACTCGGAATCAGAGATTTTCCGATTTTTTGTTAATACAAACAAGTTTAGAAATATCCTTGCCAAATGTTCAATGATCAATTGATTTCTTTGGAAAGTTATTTTACCAAACTATTATTAACATCATTAATTTTTGAGAAGAAAGGTACGACCCATCGTAAAAGCTGACAGTTTTCTGTGTACTGTTGTCAACATCAAGAATTATCGAGTGGTTCGAATCGCGCTAATTAGCCACAAATATATTGGTGAGCAACAAACATCAACACATGTACGTCAACTAACTTTTGCTTGTGCTTTTGGGTGTATACACCCGGTAAGGCAGGAAAAACTGACGACAAAGACATCTCAACTACCAGCTTGTCTCCTTCTTAGATCCACCATTACGATCTTCATTCGATTTTAAAAACAGATTAGAGAAACATTTCCTTCCATTTGCGTAGTTTTATTTCCATAGCGATAGCGATATGTATGAGCGTCTTGTCCGCAGTCGAGGCCTGGTGACTGAGTTTTTTAAAAATTGAAACGCTGGTCATAAATATGCGGGCTTTTTTCTTCCTTTTAAACCGCTGGCTATGAAAACTGTCGGCCGATGAGATATCTAAGCCAATCAGAGATCGCCAACTAGACCGATAGCACTGGCATTTGCGTAATCAACCGGCTAACGCCAAAGAGTGTACACGAATTAGGCTTCGGTGATTTTATGGTTTTACTCGTGTGATCGAGCTAATTTCTTGAGGATGTGGTTATTTATTGTTCTCACACTAAACGCCTTACTCGGCTGTCAAGTTTTACCGACAGAGGCGAAGTTAAAAGAAGGAGAGTGTGAAGGTAAGTTTTACATACAACCTTGTAGCGGCAGGAAGTGAAACTCAGCTAAACTTATAACATGACACGTATGGCTGTACGGTTGTTAGGCCTTCCCTTAGACTTAAACATGTAGAGGTAATGAAGAGTTCTTGTATCTCACCCAACAGACCGGCCAAGGGTTCAGGGAAATTATGAGAACTTTCTAGGCCTTATAATTGCAAAGGCCCCCCTTTTTTGACACAACGTAATTTATGAAGACCTGCAACCTAGATACTAAACTCAATGTCTTTTTTTTTATTATTTTATAAAAAAGAAAATCCAGTGAAAGTTGAAGTTTGATTAAGTTTTTAGATTTTAGTAATTTATGGAAAATTCAAGCTTTCGGCCTTAACATGCCACGATCTTGTGGAGTGGTACAAATGCACGATCTTTAGTATAATGTAACAGTTCCTTTTAAAACTTTCAACTTATATGATGTAATACTTACTGAGCCGGTGTTGATCTTTTTCTTGGAGTCTTGATGTTTTACTAACTCAAGCTCATTCTTGGACTGATCCAGGAATAAGAAATAATGGAGCGATAGTTTACACTTATTTAGCATCTGTTGTCTCAACTGTGTGTCATATTTCCTCTGGACTGTGTTTCACAGTTGTTGAGAATTTCAAACAGACACCAAAGCCTGTGTGTAGTAACACTTTCACTCCAAGAAAATTTGTAAAAATCATTTACTGCTACTCAAATTTTTAGATCAAAACTTATCTCTTTGGAAGAAAAACCTTAGGGAAAAGTTAACTACCTTTTTTACTTTGATTCAGTCCTCATACTGGACATGTCCCAGAAAAAAATTGGATGGCTTGAAACAGCTGTGAAAACAGATATATTGGGAAAAAAACTTCAAGCCTCGAATGTATTTGTATATGTTGCATGGCTAAATGCCTTTTTTTCTTAATATTTATTTCAATTTTGTGGTATTGTCATGCTTTATAGAACATCATTATTTCATTAACATTGGACATATTTTTTCCTTTTAATCGATAGTTTGTATAAAGTTTCTGACAAATTTTGCAAGTAAACTGTCAAGTGATGAAATGTCTGACATGAAAGCAATTGAAGAAAAGTTCAAAGCTGCTTGCAAAAAGGCAAAGAACAAAGAAAACAGATTTGTAAGTGCATTTTATAATATGATCATGTTTAAAAAGATGTACGAAACCAATACATTTGCATGCGAGAAGTCTGGGTTTAAGCTTTGGATTCAAGATTTGGCTGGGTCTCTGTGCTTTACTCTTGCACATGACACCTCACTCAGTTCGCTCACTTCCTCTCTTCAATGGGCCCTAATAGTCTGTGGATTCAGAAGGCATACAAGATGTTAGAACTTCTTAGCTACTATGCAAAGTTATCTGGCTAACTTTCAGTGGGCATGGGCCTTTCTTCAATCTGATGGAAACCTTGAATATTGCAGAGGGAGGACAAAGCTATTCATAGGATGTATCAGTATCTGGTGATAGGGTTCATAAGTCTTTTGACACTTATCCCCTTAATTCTGACATACGCAATGGTCAGCTTTTTGGTCTACCAGGGTCAGTGTTTAATGGCTTTCAACAAATGTCTGGAAAACTTGAAAAATTACTGGGAGAAAAGAGAGTTGCATTGCACTTTTGTTCCACTCAGGGAGAGATTGAGGAGGAATACTCCCAATCCCTTCATCAGTGTTCTCCCTCAATTTAAGCAAAACAGGCAAATAAATTTTTTAAACTGGTAAAGAAATCCTCTTATGCCTTGAGTTTTCAAGAATTCGAAGCTATTTTAGGCAATAATAAGAGGTATTACAGGCAATTAAATTTTACCAGTTACAGCCTGAAAAGGAAAACACAGCTTTATGCCTCAAAAATAAGCAGACGAAGCTCGACTGTAGTTAATCACAACACTTTTGTTTTGATCACCCAGTGTTACTACATTGGAGGCACTGAAGATGCTGCTACCAGTATTCTTAATGCAGTCCTCAAGCCTCTGAGCTACCACAAACCTGCAGAGAAGATCTGTGAGGACCTTAAAAAACAGGACAGCCAAATTTGTGCTTTGCAGTATGGTAAGTTTAAGTGCGAAGAAGTTCATTTATTTTTTCATTTTCTTTCAATTTCATGTACTTATAATCTCATTGAGATACTACCCTTGGGAAAATGTAAAGAGCATTGTTTGACAATGACCCTTGTGAAAAAGGTTTTATTTGGGAGAGAAATGATAACTTTACTCTAAGGAAGTGAAGTATTTGCTTCTATAATATTAGTTGAGGTTTTGCACATGTCAGTGGCTTCTTTTTCTCAAGTTAATAGGGATATTATTACAGTTAAATTGTTCACATGCTGATATGAATTTTGACCTGATCCCTATTGCAGACAAGCAGATTGACCTTAACAATGTTGACCTGAAGAAGCTCCGAGTGAAGCAGCTCAAGAAGATTCTCAGTGACTGGGACGAAGAATGTGTGGGATGTTTAGAGAAATCAGACTTTATCAAGAGGATCGAACAACTCAAAAGTGAACACACAGAACTCTGATGACCTTAGCGAGTAGAAAGTTATTCAATTTAGCTTGGAAAGTGAATTACACTGTACTCTCCTATGTTCTTACAATATGAGCAGGAAGTTCAGTTTTGTGACTGTGCAGACATCAATTCTGTCTGTGATTTGCATTGCACTGAAGTAGGGTGGGGGTTGCTACCCAACAAAGTATTGTGGAAACAATATTTTATTCTCTCCTTACTCCCCTACTCTGCATATAAAATGGTACGCTTCATATTCTAAGGTCAAATCTATGTACACATCTCTTAGTCAGCTGGTTGTTACAAAGGCACTTTTGGTTTAAAATGAATCGTCTCTTATACTGCTTTTTCTTGAGTAAAATTCACCATAATACAATATTTGGTTGTGAAACACACTTCAAAAGGAAAAGGTATTTCAACTTTTATCAACCCTGAGAGAGCAAAACAAATTCACATTTAATGTACATTTACCTTCAATGGTTGAAAGTTTCCAAGAATCCAATTAAAGTTTGATATATTGACTTAGTAAAATTTGAAGTGTTTTCTGAACAGTTATTGATGTCAAAATATACATCTAATCCATGTCACATGGAAAAGGGATGCACCTCAGTTAATTAACCCTTTCGCTCCTAATTTCTTATTAGTAATTCTCCTCACAGTTTTTTATACAGTTCTTATTATGCCAGTGTGGAGAATTTGGTATCATATCAAGCTATAATCCCTTCATTGGACTCTTTCTTTATTCTCATAACTTGTCTGCTTGATATTGTATTGATGTTGTAAGGAGAAATTCTGTCTTGGTCACTAGTGGGAATTAAAGGGCTAATGGTGGAATCCCAAAGGGAGAGAGTTCGCAAGAAGATCATATTGATGGCCAACTCTGTGCGAGTTTGGTTAGGGGATAAGGGCCCTTCCGGGTAGGAATAAGCTTTGCCCCAGTAATCCTGACACATACTTCATCCATGACCATGATACAGAAGACGTCATCTGTAATTACCATTCTCCGGCACTGTTAAGAGGAATCTCACCTCTAGGAAATCAGGTTTAAAAATTCCTCTAGGGTTTTCAGTGTCTCCAGAGAGATATCAAGGAGATTTTTATGGGGTAATTTAGTAATACCAATTAAGTTGATAACGTTAATCGGCCACCGTAAAGAGTTCCAAAGCTGACATTTCGAGCGTTAGCCCTTCGTCAGAGCCCTTCGCTACTAACGTTCGAAACATCAGCTTTTAAACTCTTCACGGTGGTCAATTTAAGTTATCAACTCGGATAATGATACTAAATTACACTGTTATACTCTCCCACTGAAGCAGCACCAATTTCTTGAGAAACTTACTCCTTTTATCCGGTTGATTTAGTGTCTGTAAGAGTTCCCAAAGAGTTCCTAAGGAATTGTCCGAAAATGTAAAAGGATTTGCAAAGGGTTTGAAGAGCCTCCAAAGAGATTGCAAAGTGATTTTAACGTTTGCTTGAGAGATTTGCAGAACGATTTGGAGAGTTTCAAGGGAGATTCTCTCGTCGTAAAGGAAAACGAACACTCAGCCCTTGTCAAGGTTTGATGGAAACTTTCGTTCCCCTCCCAATGCAGTCTTAAACCCTCATCACCAAGATTGCTAAGTACAAGAGGGGCAAAGAAAGAAGAAAGTATTACTGTTAAAGAGTTTGTGGCTATGCAATCAAGGGAAACACAACGATTAAAAGTTTGACGCCACTTTCATGTTCATGTCACTTCTTTTATTTTTGATAGTTAGGACACATCCGAGCATAGCTTAAAAATTAAGACACGTCCAAGTTAATAAATCATGACTCATCCAAGTTCAAATTTAAGTTGACATCTTAAATTACAGCGTATTCACGGGACAGAAACAGCTGCTACAATTCCCATACAGTTTCCAACTTGTTTCCTCTACAAAACAATTTTTTTCCTCTACAATCAGGAAACATCATGACACCAAGATAAACCTTTTCAGATAATCGTCGGATTCCGACGAACTCCCGTTCGATAGCTTGTCACTATAGTTTATTTTTGCCTATAAAACTAAAGTCAAACTTCTTTAAACAATATGCGTGACACTCTTTCGCCGAGTGCTAAGTCGAAACAATGTCACACAATCGTTTTCGTTCAATCATGGTGAAAAGAGCAGTGCTCAATGAATGGTTTGCGCCACATCCGGGTGTGGCGTGATACTCTGATGTAACCAATTGGATCAAACTATTTACTGCATCCAGAAAATCACGCTTAAAGCACGTGGAATCCGTCCACATTTCCCGCGCTAGACTGTCAGACTGTGGCTACCGTTTTCCAGCGCTTGTCAATTATTTTTCTTTTCTTCATTTTTTTTTTCTTCATATTCTTGAGCCTCAATCGCTCTCGATTTGAAGTTTTAGCCACTCGTTACAACACAACTCTTCATTCAAAACTTCTCTATCTTTGTAAATAAAGTAAGAGAGATAGTAAGTTTTGAGCTGGGTAACGAAGTGGAGAAATGTTTTTTCGTCTAGTCACGAGTGTTGGACAAAAAAATTCTAACTCCCCATAAGGAACTGAATCTCAGACCTTCGGATTCCGCGCTCCGATGCTCTACCACTGAGCCACAGAGACTCTATGGTGAGAGAGGCCAATTACGAAGTTGATTGTTCGGAGCGCGGAATCCGAAGGTCTGAGGTTCGATTCCTTATGGGGACATAGAATTTTTTCTTTGTCCGACGCTCGTGACAAGGCGACAAAGCATCTTTCTCTACTCTATCTCTATATCGTAAAATAGGTTTTGGTTATTTTTGGTGGTAAATAACACCTTCTAAAGAGTAAAGTAACCGATTGTCTCAAAAAGCAAATTTCTTAGCCTTTGAAAGAAAAACAAATCAAAACAAAATAGGTTCCTCTTCAAATCATACAAGGCCGAAGGAATAAGATACAAACGCTCTAAAAGTTGCTTGCGTCTTTAAAAAAAGAATACCAATGTATTCTATACACTCGTCTGAGTACAAAAGATTAAATTGAAATGTTTTCGATGTTAGATTAACCATTTTTGTTAAAACTACCCTTAAATTGGCTAAGAACCGCAGGATAGAAACGTTTTCACTCTTGAGACTTACGCAAACGTTTAACATACATTGAAACTTATTGTGAACTGAAAACAGAAACACACAAATTAGATATTGTTGTTAAAAGTTCGCGTACGATGTTGAAGTAAACCAAAAAATATATCCTAAGTAGCTTCTCGATACAAAGTTCAGTCCAGTTTTCATTAAAAAAAAAGATATCTCTATGAAAACTCGAGAGCAACTTTTAAAAAATTAACAAGATGTATAAATTCAGATTCAATCTTACCATGTGTCTAATCCAACTATGTGTAAATTCTAAACGTACCTTGGAGCTATCTACTAAAAAGAATATCAAGCTGACTGAGTCCTCCACACAGGCTGATTTCTTATTCAAACGTAATCAAGTTAAGCACCATTTTGAAAAATGCTATCATACTCTTTGTTAAAAGGGAATGCTAACATACACTGTTTGTGTAACAACTATTGTGCCACAGTGACAGACGGAGACTTACAGAATTGCGCTGCACGTGCGCGTGAAGTACGATAGTATTTTTTGAAGCGGCCTTTTATTTAGCACGCTGTGTTCTCTAAGATCCCAGAAATTAAAAAATAGAAAATTATCAAATATCAATTATGCTCACGTGGGAAATCCATCCCTAATCGCTTTTCACCAAAATATTCATCACAAGCCGCATGTCACACTGCATTCGGGATAGAAGATACCCTGAATCTAGAAATAACTTTACAAGGATTACCGTTAGAATGACTCTCGTATGCAGGATCCAGTCTCTACCTTCATCGACTCCTGACACTAATAATTCTGTTAAAGCCTAGAAACACTAGGGAAACACTGACTCGTTCAAATTGTCACGCAACATGTGACACCGCAAGTCGTTAGCTGCATTGCCAGGAGCGCATTTAACTTGTTACGCAAAAGCTGTCAGAGTCGCTATTTCAGCAGCTTTTTTGCATGATGTAGATCCAAGCGCAACTTTTGCAACAAATCTGTTAGACCTGAAGAAATGATCAATTTCGCTCAACCAGTCGAACACGCATTGGCAAATGCTCTTCGACTTTAAATGTAGCAATGTCGCGCGAGAAATTCCGCAACTACGTTCCTAAAATAAATTCAGCTTCACTATTCTTTGAAACAACCACAGCAATGGGCAATTCCTGCTACGGCATAACATACTCAACAAAAGCAATAAAGCTAATAGGCTATTTTACAGTTGTGTACTTAGTTGCCAAGCCTTTGATTTGGAGTGAGGCTGAAGTTGACCATGTTGTGATAGAGACCAGTATCTAGTTAGCATGATAATAAAGTAATTTGCATTTGAAAAGCAGCAAGGTTTGCGTCAGAACAAGGTCACCCTTAGCCTCATGTTAAAAAGGCTTGGCAACCAAGTACGCAAAAAATTGAGTGTCGAAAGTAATTCTGGGTTGCTTTGGTTTTGCTTTTCTTGCTCTATGATTTGTCCACAAAAAACGCACCACTTCATCAACCAATCAGATTCAAAACTAAACCCACTTGTGTCTTGGTTAACGCGTTTTCCCGCGCTTCAAGCGGTAGGCTTGTTTTTCCCTCGAGTCCCCATTGACTTATTGTGATACCTCACTTAACTGTGATTGGCCGAGGTGATTACTTTGGTTCTGTTTTTCGACACTCAATCGAAATGCGCTCTGAGACACATTAGCGTTACAATAAATACAATAATACCCAACACTCGACAAAAACATATCTAGTAAATAGACTTGGAGCTCCCCAAAAACAGGCATAAAACAAAAACAATCTAACAGTAAAACTACGAAGCAATTTGTTAAATGGGGGCTATGCGTCTTTCTGTGTACTGCATATTTCACCCTTTGACACTTAAGAGTGACTGGCATCTAGTTTCTCCTTACAATATCAGCCCTGAATCACACATTAATGTCACAAGAATAAAGTAAATGATCACTGACTAAAGAAGCTCTTGATTGTTAAAAACAAATTCTCCCGGACAGAAACTTTTAAAATGTATCAAAAACAGTACGGAGAATATGCATACTGATGTTAGTACGAAAAGGGTTAAACATTTATTCCAAATTTGTCATCTTTAGTCCCTTCATTCGTCTCCATAATTATTCCTTTTTGCTTGAGTTTCATGGTCAATAATTATTTCTCTATCACATAAAAGTACAACAAACATTAGCTAAAATTAAAGGAAAAATTTGTACATGCTAGAAAAACTTACTTTTGGATATCACGAGATACTCATAGCTTCCCAATCATCCTCGCAATTTTTTACTATTGAATTATTTTCAATTGGATTTAAAACGTGTTAAACCTTGCCATCATATATCCTTCTTCACATAACCCTTCAGGTCGATATCTTCTACCTTTGGTGTCCCACTGCAAAAAGGAATCCAGGTTTTTGCCTGCTGATTGACAAAGGAATACCAATCGTGGAGACAGTTATGGCTACGTTGGTAATTTCTCCTGAAGACTTTTGAAGTATGCCTCGTGTATTTTGGCTACGAACTGCGAGTCATTCTAAGAAGTAAAACAGTCGCAAAAGAAATTAATGAGCCATCCAAGTGGTTGTGCCATAAGTGTAACTGCCGCAAATAAAGGTTTTGGGCTTTTCATCATAGTGATGAACGATATTGAAGCAATTTCCAACTGAGCGTCAAAAGTAATCCGGGATTTCTTTGTTTTGCTTTACTTCGCTCTGTGATTGGTCCAGAAAACTCGCACCACTCTCTCAACCAATCAGATGCTAAACTAAAACCAATCATGAATCGGTCGCTTGCCTTTTCCCGCGCTTTAGGCAGTTTGGTTGGTTTTATTTAAAATTCTTATTGGCTCTAAATAGTACCTTCCTCTCCTCTGATCGGCCGTTGTGATTACTTTGGTTTTTGTTTTACGACGCTCAATCGAAAGGCGCTCTTGTCGCGAACAAGGGAAAGAGCAGAGCTTTGAGTCCACCATTTGAAATGGAGCTCCAGACCTTTGGATTCCGCGCTCCGACACTCTAATCCAAAGGGAATTCTTAGGTGAGCTAGGCTATTAGAAGGTTTCAAATGTGACACGCATCCTGTATGGAAACCAATCTCCCGCCTAGTTCCAGTCCACGCGGCTTTCCTCAAATAGTTTGACCTTCACGCGGGTTATGAACAGGTGTTCGCTCAAGTTCAAAAGTGATCATAAGTAACGTTACGTTCTTAATACTGTTTCGCCGTATTCCCAGATCGTCAGGAAATTGTCCACTTTCATCGTTTGTCTCTTATTTCCTGTGCTATTCCTATGTTATTTCAAATGTTGTAATAGAAATCACTGGCAATGACATGTATAGTTAAGAGTTCGAGTCGTCCAGAATTGAACTCCTTTACGTCCTAAAATTCCTGCTGTTGCGTTGGTTATATCCTGCATACTGCTGAGATTAGCAATGTCGAGAGCGTTGTGCGTGTAAAAAGTGTTAGAAAAATGATGAAACATACCTTTAATAAATATGTCAGCGCTTGAACTAGCTGTTCTTGTGTTAGAGGAGCGATGTCCATTTTTGGAGGCTGTTTGGGCTGAGGTGGTGTTGGTGTTTGAACAGTCACTTTCCCTGAGGTTTTGAACGCTAATGGAGACATAAGTGATGCTGCTGTGGCACCCCCTTGGTCCAGCTGTGGCTTCTGAGGAGAGTCCTAGCACAGACAAGAAAGAGTATACTGTTTATACTATAACTTGCTCTGACAGTGGGTAAGATGCAGCAAATCCTCTAAATCGATAGGCTACACGAGTGAGCAAGATGGGTCAAGCGTGCCTGGATAAGATTAAAGGAAAAAACCGAACAAACAAACAGAGGATTACTGGCACACCTTTGCTTGAGACGCCATTATTGTCTGTGGAGGAACTGTGGGTGTTGCAGATGCCATGGCCAGGCTTTTTGTTTCCACCTTCTCATTCTGAAATAACTACCGTGAAACAGAAAACACAAAACATTAATTTCCTCAGCATTTTGATAATTCATTCATTTACGACTGTAGAGTGTGCATCAAGCATCAGGGATCGAAGAACAGCACATTTCCAAGTATTCAAAGTTCAGATATCTGGTACCGACGAGAGCGACTTCGTACTTAGCCTCGTTCTCGTGCCTAAATTTCGTCACCAGATCTCTGAACTGTGAGAACTTTTTGTAAATGGGCGAATCTCTGGCTACCTTGCAGAATTCTCCCTCAAAATTTCAATGGCTGGAGCTAAGTAATTCAGATGCATTGAATATGTTCCGTATATTTTACACTTTAATTCGCATTTCCTAATTTTAAACCTTAAGATCAAATCTTGTGAAAAAATCCTTATTTTGTAAACTGACAAAACTTGTTGTACCTTTCTTTGTGCACCTGCTTTTCCTTGTTCAGTAACTGCAGAGTCATCCTGACTTCTATTCATGGATCCTGATACAATTAAAAAAAAAACACTTGTGCCAACTCTAGCTTCTCTTCTTTTGGAATTAAAACATTGCCGTTAGGAATACTAGCGTAAAAACGCTCTCCTCAACCTTTGATTACCCCCTTTCGAAGTTTGATGGAACCTTGTGATAATTTGCAATTAAATGTACTTTAACATTTCCCACAAGATATATTAATTAATCTGCTGATTTTAGTTTACTTTTATGGAAATAATTTACAATAAAAGCTCACTTAATCTAGCAGTTTCTTGAATACAATTTTCCACTGTTTACAGGTACTTCCCTGATAGTCAACTCAAAAGATCCCTCAAAGACATTACTGGGCCTACTGAATTGGTTTTGCACATGGTAAATTCCTTAAAAACGATGTGAAAATCGGTGAAAATATGTAATTCTGCATCATGCTATGGCACCTTGCACCTCACCTGAAATTACTGGAGCCTTCACATCTGACAGAGGGATACTCTTCACTTTCAGTTTCTTCTTACTTGTCTGTCCCTCCCTTGCTGGTGATACACCATTCTGTTGCCCCTCCCCTTTGGATGGTCCTTTCCCCACAGGGGACAGTGACAAATTTCCTAACAGGTAGGGGACAGGGGTAGAGTGTGCTCTTTGCTTCTTTGGCTGTGTGTCCTGAGTTTGCAATATTTTTTGAAACTGTTCCAGTGGTTGTTGGTTTTGTTGGAGGAATCGCTGTTGATGTTCTCTTTGCTCAGAAGGTATCTGTGGTCTTGGGGCTGCGTTTACTACCTGAGTAGCTGCTGCACTTGCACCGCTTGCCTTGGACTAAAATGTAATGGATATTTTTGGGAGACGTTACATGGTAATCACTTCTGGGAGTTGAGGGGTTAAATATGACCATTTGAAGCATAGCTGTTAAATATACCTGATTATTGTATTTCTCCTGGGCCTTGGCAAATAACTGCATGATATCAACTTTTTCCTCTGTGGTATTGCTTGGACTTTCCTTAAAAAAAAAAAAAAAGAAGGATTTAATTCTCAGCAATAGGTCTGTAATTGGAAGAGGGGAACTACTAGTAAGGACAGTCTAGGGAGACCTTTACTAAAAGGCCATAGCTGGGGGGGATAGTGGGTCCTATATGCCCATGACCCCCTTTGTAAGCCTTCTTTTAAGTAAAACATGCCATGGATGTTGACATGACAATCTGGTGAGTACCTTCTGTTTAACACAGTGTGACCCCCTTCCCCCCCTTTGAAAAATCCTAGCTTCACCCCTGTACTGTATATGTAATAAAGAATATAAAACATAGGCCATCAATTTAGGACTGTAACCAATTACACCTGTTATGGCTGAGCTCACTTTACGTAATAGGTGAAAATTTTGATAACTACAGGGGTATCAGAAAAAGCCTGTTACTAGCAGCATACTGCGGCCTCTAAGACCTCTTACTGCTGTTTAGCCTACAAGTACCTGGTTCTGATATTTAGGTTTTGCCTTATGGTCCCTTTCCGGGCTCACCTACCACTAATACCAGCAGCAGCCACTTGTGGAAAATGTTATTGAAATCCTTGTTGCCATCACATAATTTTCCCATAGGAATATATTTCACTGCTACAGCTGATATCTACAATGTAACAGCTGCTTCAAAACTTAGTGACAGCCCTATAGATACAAATGATGTGAAAGATGGGAGTTTTGAAGTTAACAACGTACCTGTACCTTTGGCTTCTCTTGAGTATATGATGGTTTGGGTGAAATGACTGTGGCACTTCCTGATGCATTTTTCTGGGAACTGATCCTAGAATAACAAAAATATATAATTAAATCTTAGCTTGCAAATACATGCTCAGTTTTTTTCTGTATAGCTACAGTCCTGCTTAGCTACAGTACAAAAATTCTGGCACCCTATCTGATTTATGGTGGAAAATGTATTGTTTAATACATGGCATTCACCTACAGCTGTAATTTTGACAAAAGATGTTTCTTTTTTTTATCACAAGCATGGGAACAAGAAAAATTCTGAGTCCCACATGTGGGACTCAGTACACAAAAAACTGTAAGTTGGTGAAGAGGAAGTATTAGTGCTAAGAAGTATAAAATATACATTTCTTTTAGCCCTTAAACCCTTAGAGTGACTGTAATCTAATTTCTCCGTACAATATCAGCCCTAAATCAAACATTAAGGACATGAGAATAAGGGAAATGATCAACAACTAAAGAACTCTTGATTGTTAAACAAATTCTCCTTTTCAGACCCTTAGGAAATGTATAGAGAACAGTATGGAGAATATGCATACTGATGTTAGAAGGTATAGGGTTAAAATAACATGCAACTCACATAGTCAATAGGCTGGCTAGTCTTTTGCATTCCTTGACATCATAGAACCAAATACCAAATATCTCTTCTAAAAGATAAAGACAATTATTACTGAAATTAGTATTAATTTTGCCAGCTAAAATGTACTAAACATGTTTTAAGCCACACCCAGACCTCATTTTAATTCTTGCCAAATGGCTTCAGGACTATGATGACTCTGAGTCAGGCCCAAAACATATTTACTCCTGCAGAAATAAACTCATCTGTTTTGTTATAAGATTTCTGGAGCATACTTCACTTCTCCTTTTTTCAGAATGTCACAGTGCACATAGCATACTCACTTGCACTATTCCTGTACAGGAGGAATGGATCTTGAAGTTTAAACTCCATTGTGTTTGTTATTGGCTCCATCATATTTTTCATACTCAATCTATTCATAATAAAAAAGGCACTTGTTGGCGTAGCAGACCTGCAGGAATTAAATAAAAATAAGGTCAGTACCTGAAAAGCATTTAACCTTGTAACTCCTTCAGTTGTAAGATCTGATTTTTTAGTAATTCTCCTTACTATCTGCACTAAATTCTTATGACATAAGTTTGGAGAAATTGGTGTTGGATTAACTGATTATCTCCTCATTGTTAATTCTCTTCATTCTCCTCACTTGTCTGCTTGATACTGTATTGAAATTGTAAGGAGAAATTCTGTGTTGGTCACTCACTCATGGGAGTTTAACCCTTTAAACCCAACAAGTGACTGGCATCTAATTTCTCCCTAGAATATCACACCTGAATCCCACATTAACGTAATGAGAATAAAGGAAATGATCATCAACAAAAGAAACCTTTGATCAGTAAACAAATTC